GCGATTGCCTCTTAAGTAACTGTATATATTAAAAAGCGGAATCTTTCTCTCTAATTTAACGTAATGAATACAAATTTCGCTCAGCCTGCTCAAATTTTCAACTTAATCATACAAGATAACAACTAATTATAAGTTGAGGTCACATCTTCAAAAAGAAAACCTTTCAACTTATGTAAAACAGATTAGCAAGACAAGCATATTGATGTTATTGAATAAATGGTAATCATGAAAATCAGCAAATCAAAAAAAAAAAAAAACAACTGAAACAATCTACAACTAAATACAGTCGAACCTCCAGTTGCGACCACCTCTCGTAAGCGACGAGTTTTCCAAAATACCAAAAGTCTCCAAGTCAAATCACTATATTTGGAGCCTTTGTAAGCAACCACCTCTCGTAAGCGACCGCGACCACTTTTAGAGCTAAAAGTTTGAAACTTTCCTTTATTTTTTAACCTCCCGTGGGCGACCACTTGACAGATAATAGAGCTAAATTGGATAATTAGGTGTTGCAACATTACCGCATTGAAAATTATCAATGTGAAGTACCGGTTCCAAATAGACTTTTCCCATGAATAAAGCAATTTAAACATGGGATAAGTATCTGCAGTTACCCTATGCTAATGAGCCAAAATCTTAACCCAATATGCTCTAAGCTCTCGTAAGCGACCACCTCCCGTGGACGACCACCAGGGCTTGACATTTTGGGTGGTCGCTTACGGGAGGTTCGACTGTAGTCAACTTCTTATCGAAACGGCAGACCATGTCTTTTTCAAGAAGCTGAACTGACTTAGATGGGTGACTTTAGGGTCTCAATAAGCTGGCATGGCTCTCTCCTCCGCAGAGGCGACGCAGAGGCTCAAAGGTTTTTATTTTCGGGTGGAGAGGATCCGCTGGGTGATGTGAGCGCAGGCGCAGGGCTACGTGATTCGACTTTGCACCTGCACTCACCTCGCATAGTGGACTTCTATGACGAATGTTCGAGCCTCTGCAGAGGAGAGAGCTGAAATGGCACTGTATTTAATAAGATGAAAGAGTCGACGTGAGCTGTGGAACTTATCACACACTTCGTAGCCCGAAGTCTCAACCCAAGATGATCATATCTAAGAGTTCCTTTAGCCATCCTTCGTGCTGCCCGTTGCTTCGTGTAACTCTGTGAAAAATAGAATACACAACGATAAAATTGAAAAACAAAATCACGTTCTGTGGCTAAAAGTATGCATGTAAAAAATGCAAGCTTTCGACTGTCTTAACTATAGTCTTCAACGGGCGCATTTTCTCCTGATGAAGACTGTAGTTAGACAATCAAATGCTTGTATTTTTATATACTTTTAGCCAGAGGATGTTCCAAATTTTACCATGATTCATCCTGGCTGCGGCCCTTCTATATTTTCAAGATTATACAATATTTTAATAGTTGCAAAAAAACAGCTGAGGCGAAATGGGGCGGAATACCCAATTAATTTATCAAAGCTAGAGGTAACAACAAATTTAAACACCAGGATTTTGATTCGGACTGGTACTGCGTCTAAGCCTACACGAGAAACCCATACAGGTCGCTTATAAATGAGATGACAAGCTTCCAGCAAAATGTTCTCTCACGGAGAAGCATTATCAGCTCCGGACAAAAAAAAAAAAAAAAACAGCGTTATCGGCGCCGAAAAGAAACATTCAATTTTGAACCGAGGAATCATTCGGTCAAGCCCAGCAAGTCATATAGGTTTTGGGTACTTCCATTATGTGGACTGTTGCTGATTTTAAAACAAGCAAACACAACGTAAAGCTAACCTTTTGCTTTCCCTCCTGTCTTTGATTTGTGGCGACCACACTTTGAGGACCCTGAATCTGACGCCCGTTAAACAGATGGCGATGAGATGGTGGGGGAGACAGACTGCTAAGCAACAGGGTCGCTCCTCGATGTCCATAACAGTCAGCAGATCGCCTGACCTGACGTTGAACAGACGAAGAACGTTGATTCCTCTGTTGTAGACAAGACATTCCTCGTCACAGACAAACTTGCAGTCAACCACGTTTTTGCTGTTAGGAAGAGTGTGGTGTGTGCCTCCTGAAAGTGCATCGAGGATGTGTACACCAGGGCCGTCAAGGAGAGCTTTTCCCCAAACAACTACAAACGTTTCCTTAGGAGAGAAGATGCAATGTGGCAGATCTTTGTAACCTTCACACCAGGGCAGAGACGTATCCCGTTCCCAGATCAGTGTCGTGGTATTTGACAACCTCAGAGTCCCTTCTATCCAACCTTCATTGGAGCTGAGCGGAAAGCGATTCTTTTGGCTAAAAGTTACTAACTGGCAATTCCTGTTGCATGCAATAACCTGCCTTTGATCAAACGGTTGAATCGTCGACACAATTTCTCCGCCAGTCGTAGCTACGATATTTACGTCCGCTTGCCTTCCCACGCATGCGATTAGTTCTTCGGATATAGGGATCAAATTCGTGACTCCAGTCAACGTGCTCCAGCATCTGACACAAGTGGATAACTTGAAATTCCACAGCTCAGGTGGTTTGTTTTGTGCCACCAAAACAACACCATCTCTCACAGGTACAAGAGAGATCAGCCGAAGCTCTAGTCGCCCTTGAACCTTTCTATTTGAGACGTCCCAGGCAGTGACCGTTGTTTGACTTGTCTCATCATTACTCACTACATAAACAGTCTGTCCATCGATAGAAAATGCAAAATCTTGCACGGGGGTTTCTGGACTTTCTCCGCTGTTCTCTCTCAGCTTGCGAAGATCTATCAGACTCAGGTAGTTGAGATCTGGACTACTCATCAATGCAGTTTCTTCGTTTAGCACAGAGATGAATCCTGCTTCCCAAAATGGCACCACGCTTGACAACGTTTTTTTTGAGATGTCAATCGGGTCTCCTAACAAAAATCCTCCATTAATTCTATGTTCAAACTCCCAGGGACCGGAGTTGTCTTGGTCCTCATCAATTTCCTCCAAAACAGCCTTCGATGCGATGTTAGGAGAATCTTCTAAACTGACTTTAAAACGGCAAGTGTGTCTTGACAGTTCCGTGAGATGGAGACAAGACAGAACTTGATTGTCATGTGAGAAGTTGATCAACCCACAGGAAAGTGGTGTTGCCGTTTCTCCGAGACAATGGAAATCATAGCCTACCTCAAACAGACAGATTGAATGTGGATGGCAAATCGCTAACAACGTACCATCACGAGAACAGGCAAACGATAGAACAGGTTCACTTCTCGTTAAACGAGTGATCTCTTTACCAGTTGACAAACTCCACATGATTACGCATCGTGTCTCATTGAGACAATCGGTTAGCATCCTGGTGCTGTCATCAGAAAAGTGGCAAACAGTGAAATTGCAGCTACTTGAGGGAAAGAGCCTTTGATGATCCCCATCAATGGTATAAACACGACTGAGGTTCCCTGGTAACACAAAGTTGCCGTTAGGATGGAAAGCGACAGAGCGATAACATGAGAGGGGCCTCAGACTCTGGTCCAAGTTTCCGAATTGAGATGACTGAGGTATTTTATACGCACTTCCAAATGGCACACCGACGTAATCTTTCCTGAATATGACAGGTCTTACCCATTCTAGCTTGCTGGTCTTGAGCGACCACAGTTGTATCGTTCCATCATGGCATTCACAAACCATGTAGTCTAACTGAGATGATACATCAAAACAAGCTACTGTATCTGAGCAGTGTAATTCGACTGAGGCACCACCTTGGGGAGCGTCGTCATCTAGGCATTCCATGTACGGAATTTCAAAATATCTGGTCTCCAACACGTTGAATGCTTCAGGGGACACCTGTGGTCCGCCTTCGTTCAGTGCAAGTTGGAAGAGGACACGCGGAAGATCCCTCAGTGTGTTACGGTGCTTCCGTAACAAGAACAGCAATGTACTTAGGGCTCTCTGCAGTTCAGCAGGCAGATCCTTAGACATCTCATGCATTTGAACGGTAAGGATATCTTCAGAGGCTACTGTGTTGTACGCGTTACTGACACAGAGCTTTGCATACATTAGTTCCAAATCAATCACATACATTTTTATCGTCGATTCAATTCCATAAGGACTTGAATCCTCCCCTAGAGCCAGCATGTGTTGGACACCATGTTGAAGGGCATACTTCTCAGTGTCACTGAACTGTGCATCATGAACGCCTTTCTGTTTCAAATCCTTAAGTGCACTGGCACAAAGCCTTGCAAGGATGCAGTGGCCCTCTCTCTCGTCAACAATAAAGTCGTGATCTCCATAGCAGAACTTGTCAGTCAACCAATCTTTTACTGACTTGTGAATTATGTGCAGACGACCATCGCGAATTGGGAGAAGAGCGGAAACGCAGCTTATAGCTTTGTTTGCTTTTCTCTGATCAAGTTTCGACATGGTTCCAAGTCCAAAGACTTTTGAAACGAAAGCTAGCGGTAATGGTTCCCTCGAAGCAGTAACAGCACAAAGAAAGATCAGAAACGTTTCCTCGTTTATACAAACTTCATTGCAAAGTTCGACCTCCAGACGCTTAAAATAAGAATGGTAAACAGAGGAAATGCTTAACGGCAAGTTGAGATCCAACTCCCCTTGTTGTAGAAGTAACGCATTCTTCTGAATAAAATCAACGAGGAAGTAGGCGTACAGCATCAGGCCTTCGGACTTTGCTACAAGTTTCTTTATAAAAGCGTCTGACACATCTCCATTCACCACATACTGCAGCTTTTTCTTGAAAAACAATTCGATGTCGTCCAAATTCTTTTCGGCATCTGATTCCAGCTGTAACGGTTGCAGATGTTTGAGACTCTCTACAATGTTTCTCTCGGGACGAGTGGTTACCAGAAATCGGATCCACAGTGGAAGCTTGCAAAACTGATTGGCAATCACATCGAGCAACTCATTGCGTCCTTGGTAGTCACTTTCATCCAAGCCGTCTATAACAATTAGCGTGTTTTTACCAGGATCAGCCACAATGCCCAGGGGCTCTTTGAAAAGCAACGCAAACAGCTCTTCGGTTCCCAGGTTATCTAATTCTACTCCCAAATTTCGCGACAGTTGTTCCACAAGGATATTCTTGTACTCTGGCAGGGCTTGGCATAAGTGGCAGGCCAAGGACTGAAGCATCAACTGAGGATTTCGGTAACGGGTATTATTATGCTGACAAAAGTGGCTACCTAACAGTCTGTCAGCTTTTTGCATTCTTTTGCAAATAACAGCAGAGATAACCGACTTCCCCATGCCTGCATTTCCGCTGATCACCATCACGCGGTTTTGACAGTTTCTGTTGTCTAACCAGTCCTCCACTTCTTTGAAGACCCACTCACGGGTGTTAACTTGAAATCTTCCTGCGTGAAACTCGATGTCTCCCTTAAACTCAGACTTTGCCAGGTTTTTGAGGATTTCTTCTGAAACGTTGTCTTTTGTCGTTCGATTTAATTTTGTATTAACCGTTTTCTTGAGCATCTGACGAACTTCCTCTACAGCCTTATGTGTTTTTTTCTGAGCGCGAGTTATCTCATTCAATTGTGACTTAATTTCCTCTTCGCTGTTAGCCCACTCAAACAGAACATTTAGATAATCCTCCTCCCCGCCGCATTCCGCTTTCAGTCTATCTATTTCTGCCTGGTCATGTCCGAGAACAACAAGAACAGCACTGATCTCGTTCCAAAGAGCAGTGAACGTTGCTGTGTCAAGACCTGTTGTTGTAACATGACCGTGTAACTCATTGCGAAAATACTTCATACGAGCAAGGTTTGCCTCAAGGGAGAGATCAGTGGGGGGTGGCTTTGTGTGCCATCCAGAGGGGGGAGGGTGCAGCCCGCAAATGTTGGTCAGCAGGACAAAAAGAAGCGTGATGTCAAAAGTGTTAGAATCAGGAACACCTTCACCAGCTGGTGGGAACAACTGGTCCCATTGAGTCTTATGCAAAACTCGTTTCTTTAAGAGTTTGTTAAGAGTAATGTAGTTGGAATTAAGAGCAGTCACTAGATTTGCAGGGGAATGATAGCTGTTGAACACTTTCCTCAGCACCTTTGTTCCACCGTCAGTGAGAAGCCTGCTCAACTTTGCTCCGTTTGTCTTCTCAACTGAACTGTAAAGGGCCGGTCCTTCCATTTCAGAAAGATGTGCTGACGTTAATTACAAAATGCTTCTCTGATTGAATATAAATGGCCAAACCTATCAAGGAAAAGATGCCGCCTCTTTCAGCATTTGAATGGGTTAATTCAGGAGGCCATGGCTCTTGGCTAATTTCCTACAAGAACGAGGTATGAAATATACAATGCGAATAAAATAGTTGAACAAACGTTCCAAAACAGTGCTTGTGAATTCGTCAGCGAGAGGGCGCTATGTATAAAATTACTATTTGGAAATATAAACTTTAAGCTAAGTGCAACGTTGACCGAAGCCTCTATCCTCTCTTATAATTCACTACTAAATTTTCTCCGATTCTTATTGGTGTAAATTGATCACGTGACGCGATGGTAGTTATCGGCGGAGAGACACTATCTATCTGCCCATAGTGCATGTCCGGATGAATAGTACTCGACCGTGGGGCATATAGAAAAAAAATTGAAAGACGCAATTTGTCTGTTTTTTGTTTTTTGTTTTTTTTCCAAATTTTACACTTGGCTTTTCACGCCTTTCATCTAAAATACATGATTTTTTGAAGTGGCGCGAGGAAGAAAATTTAGACACAATAGAGCGTTTATTCCTCGGAACAATATTGGAATGAGGTACGTCAGTGAAATTTGAAAACGCAGGTTTATTTCTACGGTTAGGCCTACCGTACACACTAATTCTAGCCTAATCCGTCATGAAAACGGAGCTTTTCGAAAACGCTTTTTAAACCAGAGCAATTTGAAATCGCAGCTTTCTTTTTACGGTTAGGTCTTCCGTCACGGAAACGGAGCTTTTCAAAACTTCTCTTCAAACCGGAGGCCCATTGTGTTCCTAAAAAAGGCAAATTATGCTGCTAGCACTGCTTTCAATATGTGGAATTATGTAAAAAGGCTGGGGAATTATGCCAAAGTTCACACATTATAATTCTAGATTCCACAATTATGCTCATAAAATGATCATTAACGTTTCGCTGCATTTAACAGCCAAAAGATGATCCAGTCAAAGCCAATAGAAAGCATCTCAAAATTGTGTTTGTGAGCGGCATCAAAATATTTTTTTAACTTATATATTAACAAATGCTCGTCATCCCGCGCCCCGACACGCTCACTTGTTTTTTGTTCTTACTCGCGGATTTTCGAGCTAAAGAGAGACTGCTCCCCGTCTAGCTTTGATATATCCTTGCTATGAAATTTCTAATCAACGTTGCCTTAAAGTGGATGAATATTAAACGAACACTTCTTTGCCAAAAAATTAACTTCGTACTCTATCTACTTCCCAGAGTTCTAGTAATCCTTATCCTTGACCAACGACGGTTCGCGTGATTTAAATATGACGTCATGCACGACAAAAACAAGTCACGCGACATCCACGCGCCTTCTACGAACACTAAATTTAGAAATAAAGTAAATAAAATAAAATAATTAATGAAAATGATGAACGTCTAATCTATATGTACTGTTCTGCCTTCAGCATCGTAGCTACAATAGAAACAAACGCAAGAAAGGGCTTCATAGATTTTACTGAACATTTTAATTTATTTTAAATGATGGGACTGAACAAACCGGAAGGGAAATTTTCTAATAGTAGGTTATATATCGTGTAGGATTGAAAAATTTACGTCGTTGTAACAATTTGTATCGCATGCTTTGTTCGAATTAGTCAGCAATGGTAGTCATTTGGCCATCAACATCTTTTGCGGAACATATCTTTTAAACTTTTCAGACACAAGTCGTTGTAGTGGCTTCCATACTCGCAGTTATTGAGTTTATTAAAATAACTATGCATTCGATTTCATACGTGTTACGTTGTTCGCTACCAACAAGCTAAACTATAGAGCCTGAACCAGACAAGACCTAAGAAAGCGAATAATGTGCCTGTTCATCTTTTCTAAACTGAAAAAACAATTCTGGAGCGGTAATACTGGGCCATGTAGACACCGTGAAATAAATTTCAAGTTTTCTCTAGATTTTCTCGCCCAGCTTCAACGCGAACGATTAGTACTAGATAGGAAATGCTGACAGAAGGACTAACTGACTCGAAATTCTTAGCTTACCTTCTTTAAGTTAATGCTTGTTATCTAAATTCAGCCGTTCCATGTCGCTGCTTCACAACTTTTTGAAGTTCATAGACAGCTTGATTTCAAACGATCGAGTAATTCGCTCACCGAAGCGCAAAATGAAACCAGAGGTGTCTTTTGAAAACGGAAGCGGTGTCAATTTCGATACCAGGCGGAAGAGGCTCTGGACACTAGAATACAGTGACGGGGGGAACGTGGAACTCCAGTATAAATTTTCAAAGCTAATCGGAAATTTAAAAGAGAAAGGAGCCTTGTATAGGGCCCACAATATGTGTCTACAAGTCCCTTAAATGTATCACGGGCATCCATGCTACTGCCATATGGAAAGTTTCCTCTGCACCATATCTGTTGTCCCTCATTGAGCGGTTTGTATAAGTAATCAAATGATTTCGAGTGCAATTTGGAGTAAATAAGCACAAGTAAATTTTGCAGAGACAACCCTCGGAGATATTAATCTCTGCAAAATTTAGAGTACTTATTTATTCCAAAGTGCACTGGAAAAATCATTTGATCACTTGTTAATAATATACATACAATTTAGTTTCAACTCTCTGCACTGTTTGTGATTAATTGACGTGCCCCTCAGCCAATCAGTATGCTGAAAGTTTTGCATGTATATTATTAGGAAACTAAAAAACTGCAAAGATCTCGCTTGATTGAACGTTGGATCTCACAGGAGATCTAATCAGCCAACCTTGAAAAGTAAAACAATGATAAGTCAAAGACTACTGCCAGGCTGACACAACGTAGTATATTTAATACAATATTTCCGCTGGCCAGAGGAGTCCTCTTCAGGTTTATTAGATGTTACTAAATTATGAAAATGAACTTACAATAGTATATAATAGTGGAAAAAAATTGCTCGTCGAATTTTCACAGGCTAGAATGGGCTAATGGTATAGATTGCACGTGAACCCAAGCCTGCGAGCAGGTTGAAGAAAAAGACGCCAGGTGTCAGTGGTAACCGTTTTATCCACATCTACTTAGCTTCAGTGTAGCCCCTGAAGAACTAACCGAAATATTGGGCATAGAATTTACTCTTTTCAGCCGTCCGGTCAGCCTTTCAATTGGTCAGTGGTGACCCTGAGCGCGAGAAGTGAGCGCCAGTTAAGCGTCCGAAAAATGGCCTCCGCCTGCGCGCAAGAATCTCCTTCCCTGCTCCACATACGTACTCGCGCTTGTTCTAAGCCTCTACCAGGCGTTCAGAGTCGGGGCGCAGCGCGAAAAAGACGGCGGAGCAAAACTGAACCCCTGGAAGAGGCTAACTTGTTCCTAGAGTTACATTTTACAAGGCCCTCTAGCTAATCAATCTTGCAGCCAAATCTTCTCAAACAATTCTCAAGAATTCAGAACAGGACATCCTAAAACTAACAGCAGCGGCTGTTATTGGACTCTATTACAGACTTAGACACTATCATAGTTCTTTATGAATCTTACTTGAATTGACTATGATTAGTGATATTAGCTCGGTGGGTGACACCCATGTGAAAAGGTTGGGGATGCCTAGGAAATATTAAAAGAACGCTGTCATATTCGCTTTAAAGTGATGTCCTTGAGAGATAAAAAGAAAAGCTCGACCCTCACCCACATTAATCTCAGTTTAGATGTTTAATTCAATTTTCCGTCGAGCATCCAAGTTTTGTTCAAATGGGAGTCCCCTCCCCCTACTCCTGGGGATATTAGTGACAAATAGGTCATTGACAAAGTGGTCATGTACTGTGACACAAAATCGATCTCGCTAACTTGTAGTCAGCATTACTCGGATTAGACAGAAGAAACTGTTTTCACCTTGCGTATATCAAGCCGCTTTGTCTAGTGTATATATATATAAAGGACTGAGATGAAAGATATTATCCATCGAAGGTAATATGGTAAGGATGTCTCCATCAACAGATCCCCGTAACATCGTAGAACCTTTTGAAGTCTTTGAACATCAATGTGGTATGGTAACCTGCGTCTCAGGCAGACAATTTCGAAAGTCGCTCTCTTCGCTTCTTTCTCGCTCTTGCATAAACTCCGCGTTGACGGTAACTGTCCTCCAACCTCCCCCCGTTTTTCTTTTTCAAATGCTCTCTTTCGTTGTGGTTTTCGTGCTTTAAAAACGCTGGTTTCCGGCCGGCTGTGACACGCTCGTCTCGTTGCCTCTCCCACAAACGTCGCTCCAGTGAAACAAGTCTGGAATCAAATCGGTAAAAAAAGTAACACATGAAGCCTATCGTGCACAGGGCAACCAACAGGTTGAAGATAAAGCCGTAGCAAAGCGACTGCGGGTAGCTTTTCTTGTGCATCGTAACAGCGCTGGCGAGGAATTCACATCAGATATGCGTTCATGAAGGTGATCGTGATGTCATTTTATTATGCACAAGTAGCCTTCCTGTCATCGATAAGGTCATAGAGGGATTAAGTTTCAATTTATTAAAACATGCGGCCGGTGGTAAAATAAATATTTTGACTCTTGAAATGGCTGCAATCCTCTTTGTTATGATGCCTTTGGCCTTTGTGTCCTTTGTTATAACCCGCCTGTAGGATCATATTGAATGTTTTTGCAGAAAAGAAGACAACGTAAAGAAAAACAAAATTATAAAAAAATCAAACAAATGAACGGGGATAAAAATAGAAGAACCGTAGCCAGGACAAAACATATTAAAAATTTATAAAAAAAACGTTCACTGGCTATATAAAGTTAAAACTTTCAGAGCTTTCGGCTGTCAGACTGTAGTCTGACCATCGAAGGCTGTAGTCTGACAGCCGAAAGCTCTGAAAGTTTTAACTTTATATAGCCTGTGAACGTTTGTTATAAATTTTTAAAATGAACGGGGAGTTTAAAATGGCCCCCACTGCCTTGACAATGAGAGAGATTTTTATCAATCAGGTACTTTATTTTTGTCCTTTCAGTTGAGATATCAACTCCATTAATCCTTTTTTAGGATAATTCCCCACTGCTCCGTCTAATCAGCCTCCGACCTCCCCATCTTCCTAACCAAACAAACCTGAAACAGCGCCAAGTAAGGCCCGGGCATTCACGAACTGGGAAAATGAGCGGCTGTGAACGATCCGGGAGACTGTTTGAGATTTGTCTCCTTCAGATCCCAGCAATAAGACTCTGGCTGCATCGGAAGGGGGAGGGAAATTAAGACCCTGGGTACATCGACGGGAGAGGGGGGAGAAGGCAACTCCCATACAAAAAAGACAGGAGTGCTTGTCGTACCTTAAAATAGTGGTTTTAGTTCCTCTTAGGGTGTTCACGGCTTAAAAAGGTCCACAGCGAAAGCATCCGCGGTACCTTTTAGGGTACTGAGCCGAAAAAAAAAAAATGACAGGAGATTAATTGTTGTTTTAGAATTGGTACCTCTAAAGGGTAAAAAAAAATTTCAAGCCACGCTCAGAAAGCGGGATTTTGGTACCTCTTATGAGGGGTTCTTTTCGACGAGCATCGCCGTTCTTTTTATATGGGGCTGCACTCAGTTACTTTCTGATCTCAAACCCAACATAAATTGAGATCAGAAAAGCGGTGTTCCTCACCCACTGTGAAATATCCATGGTTTATCGAAATCGAATTCTTCTAAGTTTGGTTTCATGGTCTTTTGTGGGAAAATAATTATTTCATTTTAAGAACGCTTGTTACTGTTTCATATTTTTGTCAGTATCTTTCGAAGCAGGGTTGACCCGTTTCCTCTTCCATAACGCACGCACTTGCTAGTCATCTGTTATTGTCGGGTAGTGGTGATGTTTTACGGGGTAAAATTCTGTACGTGAGATAAACAATGATGGCTGGCTGCCAACCTCATCTTATGTCGGGAGATAATTCTTCCTTGACTGAGGAATTTGAGCATCAGGCCTCGAAAAAGGTTTGATAACTAAGTTTTAAGCGACAGTGTCACAGCTCATTATTGAAAGCTCTAGCTCTCTTTCCTAACTGCCTTCAAGCCAAAGATAAGAGAAATTTCAACTTCATGAAACTTTATTCCGTCTTTCAAGATCGTAGCAGTACACATAATGATAGAACCCTCTCAGAGCTCTATTAGCAAGCCTTTTAGACACCAACTGAAACCCGTGCTTTGGGTAAAAACTTAGCGCCGCCTGTTGAGCGCTGGTTGTCAATAACACGACTTGTTCATAACCTATCTCTCTTGCATGATTTATAAGTTCACTGAGCAGTTTCCTAGCTACCCCTAGTCGTCGGAACTCGGGCAAAACGGCCATTCTCCGAAGCCTTCCGACAGTTTCCCGACGTCTTCCGAAGCTGTCCTCGTGGTCGTCCAGGGGAACAAGAGCGACCATGCCGATGATTTTCTTGTGTAACTCCGCCACCCACATGTGGGATTTCGTTTGACACAAGTAGGTACTTTCCACATTGTCTAAATCTGTGTGTAAGCAAGTTTGAATGTACCTCGAGAAACCAATGTGTAATCCAATGAACAAGGTAAGTAATAAACCAAATAGGACTAAAATATAGAGCTTGAACGACCAAAGGGGCCATATATGGTTTAAAAGCCCTGCAGGCAGCAATAGCAACAATCCATACAAAATAGCCTGTGACATGACGTCACGGACAAAGGGACCACGCATTTCTCCCATGCTTTCTGCAAAGATGTTGCGAACCACGTGACTGTCACGTGATTGGAATGAACGAATAATGACGTCAGTGTATTCGTGTCGTTTGACTTCTGCTCGACTTGTAGGAGTCCTTTGTAGTGTCATGTCTGCATTGAAAAAAGGAAGTTTTACGATTGTCTGCAAGTTTGTTAGGTAAGGTAAAGTAAGTAACTTTATTTTACCAGCCGAGGGTAGCCCATTCAGCAACAAGGCTGGTATCCATAAAGGCCCTGGGAAATAAAGATGTGTACAATTTTTAAAATCTAAAAAATTAAGTGCAATTTAAAAGAAAAAAATGATTAAAACTCCAAAAAACAATTAAAAGGCTAAAATACACAATCGAATATTATATGATAAAAATTTTATCAATTTCCAGGGAATAAGTTTCTAATAAAAATGCTTAATTATCAAGCTTTTAAAATTACTCAAGGATGGGGCACTTTCAATGCAAGCGGGTAATGCATTGAAACAGATTGTTCCTGCATACTTAAAAGTTCTCTTTCCCACATTGTGTTGAGGCTTCGGTGGGTGCAGGCTGTTACTTCTTCTAGTGGCATGATCATGAAACGCCCTATTCCTTGTAAAGTACTGAGTAAGATACTTCGGAGCCAAATTAAGTAAGCAATTAAAAGCTTGAGAGAATGTGTTACATCATCACACTCTTATCATTTGGAAACTTGTCTTGTCAGCAAGGCAGCATACAAATGCTCTCTAATAATCCTCAGATCGTCTAACAGTTCCATTTAGGGAAATTTGTTAGCATGTCACCATTTCCTTGATGACTGGCATGGTTGACGTAGCCCTGACAATTTCAAGGAGAATTATACCAGAAGCAGTCCCTATTGTTTCTCAATTTAAGGAGGCAATGTGGTTGAGTGGTTTAGGGTGCTGGATTTGCAATCTGGATTACCCTGGTTCAAATCCTGATTCCAATCACAATCTGGATTGGTTCTCAGTAGTCCCGAGTTCAACTCCTCAACCACATTGTGTAACTGGCCAACTGGCACATGTGGGTAGCAAATTTAATGCTGAGGGGTAACCCTGCTATGGACTAGCATCTCATCCAGAAGGAGAAGGTGAAGGAATACTGCAAGCTGCTTTTGCTAGAGAATCTGGAATAAGTTCCAGCAGTATGAACCACTCTGCCCAACACATAATTTTAAAGAAAACTATTGAGCATGTTTTCAATCAAAAGTAATTCTGGGTTTTTCTGTAATGTGTGGTTCCAGAAAATATCCATACCCCCACCATAGATCTTACACATGAAAAAATAGTAGCTTGAAAACTTGTATTTGAATCACATTATGTTTAAAAATAAACTTTCTTTCTTCAAAAAGCACTTTGGAAGCTAACAAGAGTGAAGAACATGCTGTTGCGTGGAAATGGCTGCCATGACTTGTTACCAGTGTACATGCAGCCACCTTGTGGACCGAAAAGCACTGGTGACTAGCCTAGTTTGTTCGAAGCTGTTAGGTGGCAGTTGATTTCTTTCGTGAAAATGAGTTTCTTTATAAAGGTAGAAATGATGTTACGATTTCACAAACTTGAGAATTTCTTGTTCATGTTTATTTCTGTCCAGTTGTATGTGATTTTGCTGTAAAATTGGCTTTCGTCATTAGTGTGTTAGCGATCGTGTTCACGATAAAAGTACAGTGTCAATTTCATCTACACTCATCAGTCCTTCAACCAAAATTGTACCACATTCAGAAAATGAGACTTAGTTGTATAGGAAGGTAATTAAATTTGACAAGTTACCAGCATATTTAAATAAATTGCTGTCGGTATGTTTTCTCGGTAGGTTTCTTTCACAGGTCACAGGTCACCAAAAATATGCCAAAACATCATAAAACAGATGCATACAAGTGCGTCCCAAGTGTAACTATAACAGCTCTTTTCTGAAAAAAAAAACAAAAAAAAACGCATAGGCGAAATTAGCTGTAGCACTGAAATAAAAAAAAAAATTGATCCAAAGAAAGCCAAGAGTTATTTCTGTTGAAAACATAAATTGTTTGTAGCCTTTCAATATAAAATGAAAACGAAAGAGGCTTACACTGATGTTGACAGTGAACCAGGGGGGCCTAGAATCTAGTCTGTCACGATGTGTCACACACGGCATTTTGATGCATCA